GGAAGGGGAACACCCCTCAAAGAAGGGGTGGCGGGGCTCGCCACGAGAGGCACCTACGGCGACGATGCTCGCCTCAGCTGCAAGTAGATCCTTCTCAAGGATGGCGATGGTGAGCTCAGTAGGGGAGCGAGCAAGAAGAGAGTCCCTGACTGCGCGCAGTGAGTCAGGGAGGCGGGTGACAATGTGGTAGAGCGTGAGCCAGAGCGGTGGGGGGTTGCTGGCGAGGAACTCGGCAGGCATAGCAGCGCGAAAGCGGGCCTCACTGGTCTTAAGGTGAGTAATGAGATCGGCAACGGTCTGAAAAGAGGCCAGGTCAGGGAAGAGGTAGGGTAGGGTGAGGCGGCCTAGGGTGGCGACGCAGGCGAGGAGTAGCGGGCAACGACGGCTGTGTACAGGTCCTGAGCAGTCTTGCACTGGCCGAAGTGCTCGCGCTCATCTAGCGGTAGCGAGTTGCGGATAGCAAAGCGAGCATGCGCGTCGCGGGTCTGCCACTGGGAGCGTAGCGTGCTGGCAGCAGAGGAGTCAGGGGCAGTAGCATGGCCGAGGGCATGATCATACAGGGAGATGTCTTCCTTGGCAGTGAGCTGTAGGAAGAGGTGGAGATCCTCAAGCCAGGTGTCAAATTTCACTGGGCGACCCTCAGCATCGAAGGCTAGGACAGGAGCGCTAGCCATGATAGCAGGAGGAGGAACAGTCGAAAATGGAAGGATAACAGGAACAGCAGCAGTTGGGACAGCTGCGGCAGTTGCTGCAGTTGAGTCGGCGACGGCAGCTGCTGCAGGAGGTGCGGCTGTTGCCGCTGCTGGAGATGCGGAGGCGGTCGTTGCTGGGTCGGCGGCGGCCACTGCTGCAGAGGCAGCGGCGGCTGATGCTGATGTAGCTACGGCGGCCGCTGCAGGAGATAGCGGCGGCTGCTGCTGCAGAAGATGTGGCAGCTGCTGCTGCAGTAGATGCTGCGGCGGCTGCTGGTGAAGATGCGGCAGTTGCCGCTGTAGGATGTGGCGGCGGCTGCTGCTACAGTAGATGCGGCAGTTGTCGCTGCAGGAGGTGGCGGCGGCTGCTGCTGCAGAAGGTGCGGCAGCTGCTGCTACAGGAGATGCTGCGGCGGCTGCTGCTGAAGATGCGGCAGCTGCTGCTGCAGTAGATGCTGCGGCGGCTGCTGCTGAAGATGCGGCAGCTGCTGCTGCAGTAGATGCTGCGGCGGCTGCTGATGAAGATGCGGCAGCTGCTGCTGCAGTAGATGCTGCGGCGGCTGCTGATGAAGATGCGGCAGCTGCTGCTGCAGGAGATGCTGCGGCGGCTGCTGCTGAAGATGCGGAAGGAGCCGCTGGAGAAGATGCAGCAGCTGCTGCTGTTGTAGATGCAGCGGCGGCTGCTGCTGAAGATGCGGCAGTTGCCGCTGAAGAGGGTGCAGTAGTTGCTGCTGCTGCAGTAGATGCTGCGGCGGCTGCTGCTGAAGATGCGGCAGCTGCTGCTGCAGTAGATGCTGCGGCGGCTGCTGATGAAGATGCGGCAGCTGCTGCTGCAGGAGATGCTGCGGCGGCTGCTGCTGAAGATGCGGAAGGAGCCGCTGGAGAAGATGCAGCAGCTGCTGCTGTTGTAGATGCAGCGGCGGCTGCTGCTGAAGATGCGGCAGTTGCCGCTGAAGAGGGTGCAGTAGTTGCTGCTGCTGGAAATGCAGCGGCAGTTGCTGCAGAAGAAGCGGCAGTTGCTGCTGCTGAAAATGCAGCGGCGGCTGCTGCAGACAATGCGGCCGTTGATGCTGCAGGAAATGACGCGGCGGCCGCTGCAGAAGGTGTGGCTGCGGCTGCTGCTGGAGATGCAGCGGCGGCTGCTGCAGATGGCGCGGCGGCTGCTGCTGCTGCAGCTGCAGTGGCGACCAGGCCGCAAACCGGCGGCAACAAGGCCGCGAATCGGCGGCGACGAGGCCGCGGCCGGGCGGCAGCGACGCCGCAAAAGGCGCGACAGAGTCACGACACGGCCGTGGAAAAAAAAGGGAGGGGGGGGGAGGCCGTGAGAGAGTCGCGCGGGGCCAACAAAGGGGCCGGGAAAAACGAAGAAAGAAACGGCCGCAACTGGCCGTCGAGGAGAAAGCGCCCGTGGCGCGACTAGGGGAAACGCAAAGCGCGCTCCGGGCAGAAAAAATTTTCTTAAACGTGGTGGGCCCTTCCTAGGAACCTTCCTGCTCTATACCATGTCAAGGTGAGAGAGGAATGATGTCGACTAGTTTGGGGCATGGGGTACAAAAGTGACGAGAGAAAAGTTGTACCCCCTAAGAAACACCCCTACAAAACCTAAACCTAAATTATATAAATCATATAATTTGACAGAAAGCAAGTAAGGAGAGACGCAGCTATTAGCAAGGGGTATAGCTGGGAAGGAGCACGTCGAAAGGAACGAGAAGAGAAGGCGGAATGCTTATATTAAGGAGAGATAACAATTGACGGGAGGGGTATAAGAACACGCAAACGGTATAAGGCAAGGTAATAACAACAGGCAGTTGAGAATAACACGCAACCGTGGGTTGTTCCGTAAACTGAATCCCAGGAAAAAAAATTGCACATAACCCTAACGATTCTTGTTCAAAGAAGAGTGTCGTGCTGAAAAGATTGCAGCATAACCGCGAAACGATCTGGCAGAAGTAACGGTGTGAGAGGTCGTAATGGTTCTAGATTTGCCGGCGGTAGTAATCGGCTCTTCTTATGACTGCCTGAGGTTTAGATGGCATTCACAGCAAGTTCCCCCAAGCGAAGTAGCCCCAAGAGGCCCAAAAGTGGGTCCAGTGTGGCAGTTTTGCAACTGACCACACCCACTCCACGTGCCATGCGAACGTGGATACACACCTAGACGAGTTTGAGCGAATTATCAAACCCAATCAGGGGCATGTAACCCCGTAGACTTCAAGATCGTTCATGACAGACTTTCGTGAAGCAACCCCAAACATGTGCTTCACAAATATCTTTACACTGTTGTTGAGTGCGGTTCGCTTTGGGGGAACTTCCTGTGAACGCCATCTTACTCCACTCTCTGTTTTCGCATCACTGGGGTGAGATTATTCGCACTACAGAGTTTCGCTTTGTTTGCTTGGACTCGGTGACGACTGCACAACAAAAAAAAACTTAGTTGAACGGGGAAACTAGTGCTGCTGACCAAACTCACACCATTGTACTTCTTTGGTTCGACTTTACGAGAACATCTAACGCTGTCAAAACAAACACTCCATAGCGCGGTCGAGTGTGTTCGAAACCCTGGGATTTTCGGCTGCAGTTTCCTTCTTGGCGGCTGCGATTCCACCATCGACGTACCCGAACCTATCGACGGTGCGTGTCACCCTCGGAGCCGCAGCATGTCTCGCACAACCGTCGATTACGTTCTCTCAAACACTATCTCGATCGCAACTACAATCGTCGACATCATTGAGCTCAGGCTGGTAGGAGCGACATCGCTAGAAACCTCTAGTCTAGTCAGGGATACGCCTTAGTGTGGTCGTTCAGGCAAACAATAATCGACAAGGTGCAACGCGGACGGGGTAATCTTGCAAGAAACGTGTTCTCCTTTTCTAATCTCGACCGTCGGTAGTCATGACACGATCAACCGAATCCAGCTATCGGGGAGAACCCAGCGATTCCCCTGAGGGTGATAGTAACGGAAGTAGCAGGGAAGCAGCCGGCGAGAGTGGCAATATCGGGAGTACTGATGCAACAGCTACTCCAGAAACCGATTCTGTAACACCAGATGTAACAACCGATTCTGACCCTGTAACCGCATCGACTGACAATGTAACACGATTATGTGATGATGTAACGCCAGCGACAACGCCACTTGGGAATAACGACACGTCAGCAAGCAACAACGGAGCCGCTGCACCCGAATCACGGCAGGGAGCAGAACCAGGGCAGGTTTCGGAAACAGTAAAGGGAGCGGGAGCAAGTAACAAAGCGGAATTGAAGAATGAAGCGGAACCAGAAAAGGGAGCAGATTCAGAGAAGGTACCTGAAAGCCCTTCCCCCGTGGGATTCGTCAGCGCCACGGGAACTAAATCAGTAGAGGGAGCGGAACCAGACAAGGGAGCAGATTCAGGCAGTAAGGTGGCTGAAAGCCCGTCCCCCGTGGGATTCGACAGCGCCACGGGCGTGTGGCTGCTGACGTCAGAGGGCGAGACGCTCCAGATGGACAGACGCGTCGCGGCTTTCATCCCCTTCCTCTGGCAGGCCATGGCTCAACGGTCACCTCTGGCGATGGGTAAAGTCAGAACGGAAAAGGGACATTTTGACGAGGGTGTGAGAGGGAAGGGAGAGGGAGCGGGCGTGGGAGATGTTGCGAAGAGGCTGAGTGATTATTCCATGATTGCAGCTGCTGGTACCGTTATCACTGATGCCGCTGCTGGTGATACTGGTGCTGGTGCTGCTGCTGCTGCTGCTGCTGCTGAGGCGGCTGGTGATGCTGTCGCAACTGCAGCTACTACCAGTGGCGGTGCTGCTGGTGCTGCTGCTGCTACTGCCAATGCTCCTGGTGCTGCCGCTGCTGGTGGCAGTGCTGGGGGATCGCATGAGTCATCGCCCATTCTTCTCCCGAAGCAGGTGTCAGCAGCGGTGCTGCAGCTGGTGGTGGAGTACTGTCGCTACCACAGCGTTCCGGGGAGGTCGGATAAGGTGAGAGGGACGTTGTTTGTTAGTGCCATTGCAGTCAGGTCACAGGAGAGTGTGCGAGCAGGTGTCAGCAGCAGTGCTGCAGCTGGTGGTGGAGTACTGCCGCTACCACAGCGTGCCAGGGTGGTCGGACAAGGTGAGGAAGAGAAGAGAGTGTGCGAGAGTGAGCAAGAGGCACTGCATTGAGTCAAGCGGTGCTGCAGTTGGTGGTGGAGTACTGCCGCTACCAGAGCGTGCCAGGGTGGTTGGACAAGGTGAGGAAGAGAAGAGAGTGTGCGAGAGTGAGTAAGAGGCACTGTATTGAGTCAAGCGGTGCTGCAGTTGGTGGTGGAGTACTGCCGATACCTCAGCATGCCAGGGTGGTCGGACAAGGTGAGGAAGAGAAGAGAGTGTGCGAGAGTGAGTAAGAGGCACTGCATTGAGTCAAGCGGTGCTGCAGCTGGTGGTGGAGTACTGCCGCTACCACAGCGTGCCAGGGTGGTCGGACAAGGTGAGGAAGAGAAGAGAGTGTGCGAGAGTGAGTAAGAGGCACTGCATTGAGTCAAGCGGTGCTGCAGCTGGGAGTGGAGTACTGCCGTTACCACAGCGTGCCAGGGTGGTCGGACAAGGTGAGGAAGAGAAGAGAGTGTGCGAGAGTGAGTAAGAGGCACTGCATTGAGTCAAGCGGTGCTGCAGCTGGGGGTGGAGTACTGCCGCTACCACAGCGTGCCAGGGTGGTTGGATAAGGTGAGAGTGAGAGTGAGATTGAGGGTGAGGGTGAGAGTGAGGGTGGGTGAGGGTGAGAGTGAGGGTGAGGGTGGGGGTGAGAGTGCTAGTTATAGTGAGAGTGAGTGAATGAAGCTGACTGGCATTACCAGCAGCTCGCTTTTTTACAAGAGCTTTGTGTGTGTGTGTGTGTGTGTGTGTGTGTGTGTGTGTGTGTGGACCCAGAGAGCCTGTGCAAGCTTATAGCTGCGCCTCTCCCCATCCTCCCCAACCCCTCCTCTCCCGTTGCAACCCCCTTGTCTCCCCCCTTTTCCCCCCTTCACAGGAGCGGAGGCTGTTCGACGAGAAATTCGTGCGTGTGGATCCGAGGAGGCTGTGTGAGCTGACGTCAGCGGCGGATGTGCTTCAAATGAAGCCGCTAGTGGACCTCACTAGCAGGGCACTGGCGCGGCTGATAGAGGGCAAGTCTCCCGAGGAGATCAGAGAGACGTTTCATCTGCCAGATGACTTGACAGAGGTGCGTGAGTGTGTGGTTGGGTGGGTGGGTGGGTGGGTGCGTGGGGCAGGGATTGGCAGTACCTGAAGCCCCAGGGAAGCCTCTGGTGGATCTCTTTTGAGGCGCCTCAAAATGCACCTCACTACACGCTGATTGGCAGTACCTGAAGCCTCAGGGAAGCCTCTGGTGGATCTCTTTTGAGGCGCCTCAAAATGCACCTCACTACACGCTGATTGGCAGTACCTGAAGCCTCAGGGAAGCCTCTGGTGGATCTCTCGAGCAGAGTGCTCGCGAGGCTGATAGAGAGGGCAAGTCGCCCGAGGAGATTCGGGAGACGTTTCATTTACCGGATGACTTGACAGAGGTGCGTGGTCTATAGACTCTATAGGGAGAAGGGTTGGTGTGTGGTACCTGGGAGGGAGCAAATGAAGCCCCTGGTGGACCTCACGAGCCGGGCGCTGGCACGGCTGATAGAGGGCAAGTCGCCCGAAGAGATCAGAGAGACGTTTCATTTACCGGATGACCTTACAGAGGTGCGTGGTCTATAGACTCTATAGGGAGAAGGGTTGGTGTGTGGTACCTGGGAGGGAGCAAATGAAGCCTCTGGTGGACCTTACGAGCCAGGCGCTGCCGCGGCTGATAGAGGGCAAGTCGCCTGAGGAGATCAGAGAGACGTTCCACCTTCCAGATGACCTTACAGAGGTGGGTGGGGTAAGAGGTGGGGGAAGTGGGGGGACAGTCAACCTCACCACCCATGTGGTGGCGCGGTTAATAGAGGGCAAGTCGCCCGAGGAGATCAGAGAGACGTTCCACCTTCCAGATGACCTTACAGAGGTGGGTGGGTGGGGGAGACGGGTTGGTGTGTGGTACCTGGGAGGGAGAAAGTGAAGCCGCTGGTGGACCTCACTAGCAGGGCGCTGGCGTATATTCAAGTGACTTATGAGAATTCTCAAAAGTCACTCGAGGCTGGCGTGGCTGGTAAGTTGCCCGAGGAGATTCGGGAGATGTTTCATTTACCGGATGACTGGCGCGGCTGATGACCTCACAGAGGCGCGCGCGTGGGACAAAGAGATGACTGTCCCGTGTACACCTTTCCCCCCCCTCCACCGAGGTGGCTTTTGAGTCGACTCAGAAGTCACCCAGAGGCGCGTGGGACAAAGAGATGACTGTCCTGTACACCTTTTCCCCCCTCCTCCGCCCCCTCCCCCCTACCTTCTCCCTGCTCTCCTGTCACATGTATGTGACCACAGGAGGAGAAGCTGGAGCCGGTACGGAGCGGCACAGACCACCCTCGCATTCGCCTGATCCCTCTTCCTCCATCCCTCCTTCCCTTCCCCCTTTCCCACCTCCTGTCCCCTGCTCCCTGTCACATGTATGTGACCACAGGAGGAGAAGCTGGAGCCGGTACGGAGCGGCACAGACAACCCACAGACTCGCCTGCTAAGATGCCTCTTTGTTACTCCTCTCCTGATCCCTCTCTCCTCCTTCCCCTTCTCCGACCCTCGCCCCTTTTCCCCTGTGACCGCAGGAGGAGAAGCTGGAGCCGGTGCGGAGCGGCACGGATGACCCTCGCATTCCTCTCCCCCACAGTCTCCCCTATCTTCACCCTCCCCCACGTGTCCCCCGGTCACCCGTTATAACGAACCGCAGGAGGAGAAGCTGGAGCCGGTGCGGAGCGGCACAGACGATCCGCGCATTCGGCTGTTGAACCGCCTTTATGCAAAGAAGAGGAAGGACCTCCTGAGGAAGAAGGTGGGTTCGTTAGTCCACCCTCAAGGAGGCATGACTATTAATTCCGTTTTCTAGTCTGACTCAAAGTCGATCACTGAACCAGCTATATGCGAAGAAGAGGAAGGACCTCCTGAGGAAGAAGGTACGTGTATGAGTCGGATAGGTCATAATATTGCCACTGACAAGCCTATAGCAGCAGAAGAATCGGCTCAAGGCATCGAGGAGAGGGGAAGTTCAGTGCATTCGCTTTGGGTGTGCTGCTCCTATCCTGTCCGTGTGTGTTTTTTTTATCTCCTTCTGCGTTGTGTTTGAAGAAGTGTTTTGAGACGTCTCAAAACACTTCTTCAAAAACGTGGCAATTGTTTTGGGTGTGCTGCTCCTCTCCTGTCCGTGTGTGTTTCCCCTAACCAGCAGGAGGACGGGAATGAGGAAGAGCAAGGAAAAGGAAAAGGAGGAGGGAAGGCTCTAAGCAAGGTTCGTGATTCTCTCTCTCTGCGCTTTGTTGTCTGTCTGTCAGGAGCGCACACACTCAACGAGTCACCTTCAAGAGGACGGGAATGAGGAAGAGCAAGGAAAAGGAAAAGGAGGAGGGAAGGCTCTAAGCAATGTCTGTGGTTTGTGATTGTCTCTCTCTGCGCTTTGTTGTCTGTCTGTCAGGAGCGCACACACTCGACGAGTCACCCTCAAGAGGACGGGAACGAGGAAGAGCATGGAAAAGGAAAAGGAGGAGGGAAGGCTCTAAGCAATGTCTGTGGTTCGTGATTGTCCCTCTCTGCGCTTTGTTGTCCGTCTGTCAGGAGCGCACACAGTCGACGAGTTACCCTCAAGAGGACGGGAATGAGGAAGAGTAAGGAAAAGGAAAAGGAGGAGGGAAGGCTCTAAGCAATGTCTGTGGTTTGTGATTGTCTCTCTCTGCGCTTTTTTGTCTGTCTGTCAGGAGCGCACACACTCGACGAGTCACCCTCAAGAGGACGGGAACGAGGAAGAGCATGGAAAAGGAAAAGGAGGAGGGAAGGCTCTAAGCAATGTCTGTGGTTCGTGATTGTCTCTCTCTGCGCTTTGTTTACTGTCTGTCAGGAGCACACACACTCGACGAGTCACCATCAAGAAGACGAAAGCGAGGAGGAGCAAGGAAGGGGAGGGAGGTCTCACGGTGGCGAGAGGAGAAGCAGAGAGAAGGAGGCAGGGAAGGGAGGGGAGAAGGAGATGGAGCGGAAGGGCAGGGAGAGTGGAGGGTTGAGGGAGGCGATGCACAGGCACCACCACAAGGAGCGATTGGTGGATGAGCGATCAGTAGACGACCTTCTGTCATTCATTGATGGGGGAGGTGAGGGTCAAAAGTTTGGGCTTTGAGTTTACTCTAACGGCGATGCACAGGCACCACCACAAGGAGCAATCGGTGGATGAGCGATCGGTAGACGACCTTCTATCGTTCATCGATGGGGGACGTGAGGCTGGGATTTGACAATGCTCGGTTTGTTTCTCTCTGATTGTGTCGAAACGGAAGCTTTCTCGAGGCATGTGACATTGAGATTTTTCGAAAGTGACTTCCAAGTAGCATTTTTTACTCAGTGAATTTATCTTTCCTTCCCTGTGCAGAGAACAATGGCAAAGGCAAATCAGGGAGGAAGAAGAAGAGCCGGAAGAAGCCGGAGAAAACGAAGGTGTGTGATGCGGTGGGATGGGATGGGTTGGGATGGGATGAGATGGGATGGGATGGGGTTTGGATGGGAGGGGAGTGTGTTCTGTATAAACCGGGGTACGATGTTTTGCCATTCAGTGTTTGCCGTTCCTTCATCTCCCCTCATCTGTCTTCATCGTTCATAGCTGTTCTCTCATCTTCTTGTCTTTCTTGTCTTCACCTCATTTACCGTTCTCCACCTTCCTTCATCTGCATTCACCCATCTTCACCTTCTCCTCATCTTCATTTTTCCTTTACTTTCTTCTCCTGTCATCTTCATCTCACTCTTACCCCGTCTTTCCATTTCCCTCCGTTTCCCTCCATTTCCCGCAGTCCCCTCGTCTTCCGGATTCGGACAAAAACTGCCATCCAGCCTCGGGAGACGGTGCCATTCAAGACAGAATCTCCAGAGGGAAGGAGAGTGGGGTGGAGGAAGCAGGATCGGAGGGAGAGGAGGGGGGAGATGGTAAAGAGGGAGGGGAAACGGGGGAAGAGGGTAACGCTCGAAGGGAAGGGGGAGAAGGTAAAGACGGAGGGCATGTGGTGGTTGCTGATGGGGTGATGGAAGTTGGTGGTGGGAGTTCGCTCGAGGCTGGCAGAAGTGGTGGGGATGGCGCATGGCTTGACCACAGAGGTAGGAAGGTGGGCGACGTGGGATTGGGGAGAGCAGGCGAAGGGAGGGAAGTAGCATTTGCAGCAGCAGCAGCAGCAGCAGCAGAAGCAGAAGCAGTGGTGCCATCGTCAGTAGCAGGAGGAGGAGGACGAGGAGGAGGAACAGTAGACGAGAGAAGCAGTGCAGTTGGAGTGGGAGAAGCAGCAAGAGAAGAAGAGGCGGTGTGCACTGCTGCGCAAGAGAGGGGAGGAGAGGTGGCGAAAAGGGTCAAGACTCCACGACAGGCTAAGAAGGTGGCAATAGAGGAACAAGAGGAGGGAAAGATGGTAAAGGAAGGGACTGGGCAAGTTCAAGCAAGAGAGGGAGCAGGGGAGGGTAAAGGCAGAGAAGGAGGGGTGGAGGAGAAGGTTAGAAGGCACAGCAAGCAGGAGAAGACAGGAAAGCTGACTCCTCGGCGCAGAACAGCAGCAGCACTGGCTGAATCAGCACAGGCAGATGCAGCCCAGGCAGCTGGGGCTGCTGCATCAATCTGTGATAGCACCAGGGTGGCATATTCGAGAGGTGTTGGTCAAATTGGTGAGCGTGCAGAGCTCGTGAAAGACACTTTAGCAGGAGTTGCAGCAGAGGGTGCAGCAGAAGCTGCGACGGCAGTCACAGCACAAGTGTCTGAGCTTGCATACGGCTCTGCAGGATTGGGAGGTGCGCGGATGGGAGATCAGCAGGCACGGCAGACAGAGGACCAGGTTCGGCAAACAGACCACCAGGCTCGGGAGAGAGAGCACCAGGCTCGGCCGCTCCCCTCGCCTGTGAAAACACCCAAGAAGAAAAAGAAGAAGAAACACTCAGCGTGCTTGCAGCAGCAAGACTCAGGGCAGCAAGAAATAGGGCAGCACGGGAAAAGGCAGCACGAGGAGCAGGAGGTGGACGAACAACAGGAGGAGGAAGAAAAGGAGAGTATAATGGAGAGACAGCACCAGGAGCAGCAGATTAAACAGCATTCCTTGTCATCTGGAAAAGCATGTGATGTGCCAATTCCTGGCTCTGTTGATGCTGCTGATGGTATCGGTGATGTTGGTGCTGCTATTGATGCTGGTGGTGTTGATAGTTCTGATCATGCTGATGTGCATGCTGCAGCACCATCGGCACAGCTTGGCATAGCAGGGTCTGGCGGGATGAAGGGCGCTCCAGAAGCAGGGGAGACAGCAGCAGCAGCAGCAGCAGCAGCAGCAGCAGCAGCAGGGGAGACAGCAGCAGGAGAGGCTGCGATAGTGGAGACAGCGACAGTAGCACCACCATTACTGGAAGGAGCAGCAAAAGTAGCACCAGCAGCAGCAGAAGCAGTTGCAGTTGCAGAGGGGCAGGTGAGAAGGCCGCATGAGAGAGGCCTGGGATTTCCCCACAGCAGCCTGCAGTTCCCTGCCGTGGCAGTTACGCATGTGCATAGTCACGAACAGCAGCAGCAGCCGACTGAGCAGCAACAGCAGCAGCAGCAGCAGCAGCAATTGAATCAGCCGGAGCACTTAAACCCTCAGCAGCACCTGCGGCAGCAACAGCTTCAAACGCAGCAGGAGCAGCAGGAGCAGCAGCAGCAGCAGCAGCAGGAGCAGCAGGAGCAGCAGGAGCAGCAGCAGCAGCAGCAGCAGCAGCAGGAGCAGCAGGAGCAGCAGGAGCAGCAGCAGCAGCAGCAGCAGCAGCAGCAGCAGCAGGAGCAGCAGGAGCAGCAGCAGCAGCAGCAGCAGCAGCAGCAGCAGCAGCAGCAGCAGCAGCAGCAGCAGCAGCAGCAGCAGCAGCAGCAGCAGCAGCAGCAGCAGCAGCAGCAGCAGCAGCAGCGGCAGCAGCAATTGAATCAGCCGGAGCACTTAAACCCTCAGCAGCACCTGCGGCAGCAGCGGCAGCAACAGCTTCAAACGCAGCAGGAGCAGCAGCAGCACCACAACCAGCACCAGCAGGGGCATGTGCAGCACCAGCACCATAGGGAGGAGGCACAGGGCGACAGTGTCACTGCGACCTCTTCTCACTCTACTCATGCTGCTCACTCTGCTCACTCTGCTCATACTGCAACCTCTCCGCACTTCCAAGGGCTGTCCTGGCAGCCATTCGTCTCAAGGCCGCAGCAGGGCGCAGGCTTGGTGGTACAACACGGCAGCATCAGCGGCAGCATCAACGCCAGCGGCAGCATCAGCGGCAGCGGTGGCACGCGTGTGAGCCCCAGAAGCAACCATGACAGACAATCCCCGCATGACAGTCCATCCCCGCAGCATGAGAGGCAGTCCCCTCTGCCGCATCTCCCCCCGTCCCTCTACTCCCCTCCCCAGCTGTCCTTCTTTGACCTGCCTCTCCACCTCGCCCACCAACACCACCAGCCCTGTATGTGTTCTGAGTTGACTCAAAACACCCCCCAGCCCGCCTCTGAGGCACCTCATCAGTCGACTCAAAACCCTCCCCAGCCGTCCTTCTTTGACCTGCCTCTCCACCTGGCCCACCAACACCACCAGCCCTGGATGGCCCGAGTCTCTCCCGGTCCTCCCAGTCAATGGAGTCAACCAGGCGTTTCCACTCCTCCTGTTCAGCAGGGACAATTTTCTCACCTAGATAGTCCAAGTCAAACAGGTCAACCAAGTCAACAGGGCTATACAGGTCCAGGTCAAACAGGTCAACCAAGTCAACAGGGCTATACAGGTCTAGGTCAACCACGTCAACTGGGTCAACAGGGCCAGCCAGGTCAACCAAGTCAATTAGGTCAACAAGGCCATGCCCCTGTGGAGCATCAAGTGTTGCACAGCAACCACTACAGACACACTTGGCCGCCCGTCTCCGACGACCACATGCCAGTTCGTACCAGCAGTGCGGGCAGCAGAAGCAGAAGCGTGGGTAATAGCAGCGGCGGTAGCAGCAGCAGCAGCAGCCGCACAGGAATCAGCCTATTAAGCACCACCACTGGCACCAGCACCAGCACCGGCACCCACACTGCTCCTCCAACTGTTCCTGCTGCTGCTGCTGCTGCTGCTGCTTACCCCAGTGCTTCTGGGTTCGGGTTCCCATCAATTTCTGCCTCTCCTGCTGCTAGTGCATCTGCCTCTCCATCCCCTTGTCTCTCCCCCGCCGCTTCCCCTGCAGCAGCAGCAGCAACAACAAGGGCAGCAGCAGGGGCAGCAGCAGGGGCAGCGGTAGGGGCAGCAGGGGCAACAGGGCCGGAAAGATTCTCAAGTGCGGGCAGCACAAGAGGCTCAGTGGGCAGTGAAGATGCATGGGAGGTTGCTACACTCCTCCAAACATTCATCCAACTCCTTCATCTAGATTCCCATATTGAAGTGGTTTTCAAACAAGGGCTAGGATCGTCTCTCGCCACGTCAGCATCTTCCTTATCCAGAGGATTTTCGCCAGGTCGGGCGGGTTTCGCTGGAGGGAATGTGATTGGCCAGCGGCCGCAGCCTCGGCGATCAGCTTCGGCAGCGTCGGACCTGGAGGTAGCCTCGGACGTCAGGCCAGGTTCGGTGAACCTGGCACATCACCTGATGTCCGGGGGGTTCCTTAGCCTTTCTTTGTCACAGACGGTGTTACCAGGTTATATGGTTTCGTCTCCTTCTGCTCCTTCTGCTCCTGCTGCTCCTGCTGCACCTGCTTTTTCTGCCTTTCCTTCTGAGGCTCGTCCTGCTTCTGCTGGTCCTGCTGCTGCTGCTCCGGCTGGTGCTGCTAATGAAGTGCATACTGTCCTTAGTCCCTTGGATCGTGCGGTTATGGCTGCTGGCATTCCCAGTGGTCATGGGACTGTAACGAGTGAAGGACACAACAGTCACGTGACTCTATCGAGTAATGGGCCCTCGGCTTATGGTCACCCCCACCATCAAGACCACCATAGCCACCACTATCACCCTCATAACCACCAAAATCAGGGATATTTACCTAACTACCCTGACGACGGGCGTACACGTTATAACCAGCGTTTCAGGCACAGTAACGGGGCGCACAGCAGTGGAGGGATTGTGGCCAATCAAATGGGCGGAGGAATGGATCCTATTGGCCACTCTCGGCGCAACTCACAGGGTAGATGTGATGGTGGCGGTGAGAATTTGGTGCAGGATAATTGCAGTGGTGGTGAGCATTTACCCTCCGACCCTTTTGCCGACGGCACATTGCTTGCAACAGATTATCAAGGGAAGAATTTTGGCTCAGGGCAGCAAGAACAAGGTGTTTCCTCCGGTGTTGGCGTACCGCTTTATGGGATGGAATTGCCGCTTGATAGATTTATTGGCGACTATGTGCATTATTCGCCTCAACACGGGTCCTCGTCTGAAGCAGGTGGCTCTTTTAGATGAATGTGTTGCTCGAGTCTTATAAAGAGAAGTTATTTGTGTTGTACCTTTTGTAATAATTGCTCTCTGTACATTGTAGGTTATGTCTATTGATAGGTTCTCGGCTGTAGGTGACTATGCGGAACCTCCTTCTCGGCTATCAACTATATCGAGTACAGGAGAGAAACTAATTCCAGTGACCCAATTACTTCTGACAACTAATAGGTTGTGTAAGACTTGGCGATGGGATTCAAAAAGCAGTTTCGGAAACGTCAGTCGTAATGGCGGTGATACGGACCTAGTCACCTAGGCATTCACGGACGATTCCGAAACGCACATTCGTGCGCTGGCTAGTGCACCTCCGACGCTAATTGGTCAACGGTTTGAACCTTCGATTCTCCGACTGACATTCATTCTCAGAAAGGTTTCAGCCTGAAATAGGACCACTGGCGCAGTAACTTGAAGCAGACCGGGCCGGTCTGATCGCCATTCAAACCAGTCTGGTCGTCAAGAATCAGCGGCGTCGCTTAAAGTTCTTCGACTACTGTTCGCTCGTCAATTCAAACCCATTCTAACCCAGTCTTATCGCCAATCAGTCCACTCTGGTAGCCATGAATCAGTGGCGTCGCTTCCAGTTCTTCGAGGACCGCTCGCCCGTCGGGCCGCTAGCCGACGCGCTCGCGCAGGGCGTGCGGTGCGGTGCGGGAGGCCGAGGCCGACTAGCCGTTGGCACGGAGAGCGGCTCGGTTCTGTTGCTAGATCGGTCGCTGCATGTTCGGCGAAGCTTCGTGGCTCATGAAGGTCCCGTGGCGTTTCTACACCTGTTCAAGGTGCGACAGGGACGCAGCTAAGTGTAACGGCAGCTTTTCAATACGTCCGAAACGCTAGTAGACGTGTTTAAGACCAGTACTGGGGCGCGTTCATTAACTGCTGACTATTCATGATGTGTTCCCCCACTTAAAAGACATCCACATCAGGTACTTTTCCGAGATTCGAGTTTTGAGTCGACTCAAAACTCGACTCACTACACGCTGACTATTTATGATGTGTTCACCCACCCACTTGACTTGACATCCACATCAGTTACTTTTCCGAAATTCATTTCAGGTAAAATCCCGAAATCCATTTCAGGTGACATCCCGACATCCATTTGAAGTAGCATCCTGAAATTCACTTCAGGTATCATCCTGATATCCACCTTATGCTACAATCTTATTCTCATTTTATCCCCTTCCTCCCCCACGCTCGTCCCCTCACCCCTCAACTTGCAGCACCGGAGCTGTCGGCTGATAGTGGGGAAAGAGGCAAGGGGAGCAGCAGTGATGCTGTGCTATGCCTGTGGTACCTTGGCAAGACTGCTGCTGCTGCTGCTGCTCCTCTCAAAACCCTCCTTGGCCCCCATCCCCCTTCCACACACCCTTCTATCCAGCAACGCAGCTGTCTGTCAACCGTGGGCAAGGAGGCAAAAGGAGCAGCAGCGTTGCTGTGGGACGTCGACAAGACTGCTGCTCCTGCTCTCAAAGGCCCCCTTCCCGCTCCCCCTTCACCCTCCCCCCTTCCCCTACTCTCAGCAACGTAGCTGTCTGTTGACAGTGGGCAAGGAGGCAAGGGGAGCAGCTGTGGTGCTGTGGGATTTGGACAAGACTGCTGCTCCTGCTGTTGCGGGTGCCGGTGCTTCTTCAGGTGCTTCAGGCGCAGCAGTAGCACTGGAAGGGGGTGCCCCGGTGCCTTTACGGACGTATAACATCTTCTCAGACGCCTTTCCTGCTGCACAGGTGAGTGAGTGTGTGCTGATCATGCTTAATGGGTGAGGGAGCGCGAGTAAGAGTGAGTGATATCGTGTGTATACATGAGCAGGCAGCAGAGGGAGAAGCCCTGGCGCTTCTACGGACGTATAACATCTTCTCAGACGCCTTTCCTGCTGCACAGGTGAGTGAGTGCTGGAGTGAGTGAGTGCATATGTGTGTGCTTGCGCGCGCAAAAGGTAGAGAAGTGAGAGGCACCGGCGCCTTTACGGACTTATAACATCTTCTCCGACGATTTTCCTGCCGCACAGGTGATGTTGTAGATTGGTTGGTTGTGGGTGGCCATGTCGTGTGTATGTGTGTGGGAACGAGCGAGTGAATGTGAGTGTGTGAGCGGGTGAGTAAGTGAATGCGTGTGTGAGTGAGTGTGAATGCATGAGTCACCGTGTGAGCGAGTGCATGCGTGTGAGAGTGAGTGAGCGAGTGAGTGATTGACTAAGCGAGTAAATACTTGGGCAGAACCACCAGCAGCCTGTGTCCAATCACACACAATCCATCCTGACCATTGGATTAACTACAGATCGCAAAGATGTACCCACCCTTATACGTGGGTGGCACTGGTTAATTCGTTTCCCAGGGTAGGAAGGGTATGGGCTAAAAGAGGGGCGACGTGGGTTGGGTGGTTAAAGGACTTCCCCCCCGTTCGTTCCTCATGCATGCATATCACATCCTGTGCAATCCACGAGGCTCCTCAGCTGGGCTACCTCCTGGCCGTTGGATTGGCCACAGGAGCCGTTGATGTGCTGCTAGCTTATTCCTCCATGCGGAGCAAATCGAGTGACTCCCATCTCTCAGACCCATTTGCCCTTCTTCCTCTCCTCTCCCCTGTCCCCCTCCCTCCCCCCTCCTCCTTTTTTCCCCTCGCTCTGCACCCCAGATCACAACCTGTGCAATCCGCGAGGCTCCTCAGCTAGGCTACCTCCTGGCCGTTGGATTGGCCACAGGAGCCGTTGATGTGCTGCTCGCAGATTCCTCCATGCGGATCAAACGGCTGAGAATCCCCCCCAACAGCAGCCAGGGGCAAGGCGGGGCAGGGGGAGCGGGCGGAGTGGGGGGAGCAGGGGGGAGAGAGGGTGCGGGGGAAGGCGGAGGGGGAGGGGGAGGGGGTGGAGATGCGCTAGGTGTTGGGGAAGGGAGAGGAGGTATAGCAGCAGGAGGAGCCGGAGCAGGAGCAGGAGGGAGGAGCGAGCACTCGTCATCCTCCTCACACTCCTCCCCTTCTACCTCTGCCTCTGCTTCTGTTTTGCCTTCAACTGCCAGAGCTCTCCCCCCCGTTGCAGTCACAGGGCTGGGGTTCCGGATCCTGGATTCAGGCCCGCAGCTCTTTATAGTCACGGGCGAGACAGTCACACTGTACACGCTACCCAGTGGCATGTTTGGGGCTGCAGCGGAGGGAGGGTGGGCGGGGAAGGGAGGTGGAGGAGGAGGGGGAAGGGGAGGAGGGTGGGGGGTAGTGCTGGAGGAGAGAGGAGGGGATGTGTTCTGCTCTGCCATGACTGATACCCAGGTGAGCGCTTTGAGAGTGAGTGAGGGTGAGTTAGGGTGAGTGAGGGTGAGTGAGGGTGAGTGAGGGTGAGTGAGGGTGAGTGAGGGTGGGTGAGAGTGCTCTCTGTTCCTGCCCTCTCCTCTCTCCCTTGCATCTCCTCGCCCTCTCTCTCGGCCTTCTACTGTTTCAACGAGGATGGCCCGGGGACCTGCTATGGAAACTCTATCCCTTCCTTTGTACTGCCTCTTCTCCCTCTCTTTGCCTCGTTCATCCTCTCCCTCTCTCTCTCCCCCTTACCCATCAGGATCTGGTGGTGGCACGGCCCCTTCTACTGGTTCAATGAGGATGGCCCGGGGGCATGCTTTGGGCTGGACGGCCCCAAGCACCGCCTCGCCTGCCTGCGGGGCTACCTGCTCTGCCTGCACTCGCCACCCTCCCCTGCTCCCACTGCTACCACTGCCACTGCAGCTGCTGCCTCGACTGCTGCTGCCTCTGCTGCTGCTGCTGCTTCTGATCCTTCTCTCATGCGCCTCTCTCTCTCCCCCTTACCCATCAGGATCTGGTGGTGGCGCGCCCAGAAGCCTTCTACTGTTTCAATGAGGATGGCCCGGGGGCGTGCTTTGGGCTGGACGGCCCCAAGCACCGCCTCGCCTGCCTGCGAGGCTACCTGCTCTGCCTGCACTCGCCGCCCTCCCCTCCTCCTACTGCTGCTGCCTCTGCTGCTGCTGGTGGCCCGGCAACAACCGCTGGTGGTGGCGGCAGCAGTGGCAGCGGCGGTGGTGGCGGCGGTGGGGATTCTGGAAAGCAGCAGCACCAGCAGCAGCACCAGCAGCAGCACCACCAGCAGCAGCAACATCATCAGCAGCAGAAGATGGTCCTATCAGTGTATGACACGCGCAACAAGCTGGTGGTCCACTCTGCGCCGCTCACCCCCGCCGCCTCTCTCCTCGCGCCCCTGCTGCTGCTGTGCGAGGGAGGCGCCGTGGTGCTCCTCTCCCTGCACAGGCGAGGCGATGGCGCGGGAGGGGGAGGAGATGCAGGAGGGGTCTCAGCAGGAGGAGGAAGAGGCGGAGGAGGGGGAGGGGCAGGAGGAGGAGCAACAGGAGGAGGAGGAGCAACGGGAGGGGGAGGGACAGTGCGAGTGGAGGCGAGGGGGTTGCTGGTGGTGGAGAGGGACATGGCTTGGAAGCTGGAAGCACTGTTTCGCAAGGGGCTCTACTCCAGTGCTCTCGACCTCGTGGTGTCCCAAGGGGGGGATGCTGCTGCCACGGCTGAGGTTCTGAGACGATACGGGGATCATCTGTATGCCAAGCAGGTGAGACGATACAGGGATCATCTGTATGCCAAGCAGGTGAGAAACGGGTGTGGGTGGTGGGGCTCTGTTGTGTTAAGTCCTGTATGCAAAGCAGCAGCAGCTGCTGGTGGTGGAGAGGGACATGGCATGGAAGCTGGAGGCGCTCTTTTGCAAGAGGCGCGGTCTGATCAGCTGTATGCCAAGCGGGTGGGGAAGATTTAGGTGTGACTGGGTGTGAAATGGTTGTAGAGGCTCTGTTCCGAAAGGGGCTCTATTCGAGTGCGCTGGAACTTGTTGTGTCGCAGGGAGGGGATGCTGCTGCCACGGCTGGAGTTTTGAGGCGCTTCGGGGGCCATCTGTACACCAAGCAAGTGGGATTTGGTGACCTATCATTGGCTCGAATCCTCCCAACTTGTATCTTGTCCTCTCCCTGTCTCTGCACGGCAGAACTCTGAACTATGAGGAGACGATGGGGCAGTACGAGCGCACCATCGGGCAGGTGGAGCCGTCAGGAGTGATTCATACCTGCACGCCCAGCGGCTGGCCCTGCACATTATCCCCTCGCCCTCGCCCTGCCCTCGCCCTGCCCTCGCCCTCCCCTCACCACAGGACTATGAGGAAGCAATGGGACAGTACGAGCGAACCATTGGCCAGGTGGAGCTGTCATACGTGATTCAGCGCTACCTGCACGCCCAGCTGCTCTCCCTGCTCGCCCTGCTCGCCTGGTACCTCTACTCACATGGTAACCCCCTCGTCTCCCTGGCACTGACAGGACTATGAGGAGGCAATGGGGCAGTACGAGAGGACCATTGGCCAGGTGGAGCCGTCATACGTGATTCAGCGCTACCTGCACGCACAGCGCTTGAGTCTGCTCGCGCGGTACCTGGAGCGGCTGCATGATAAGGGGGTGGCCACGCCGGATCACACCACTCTCCTGATTAATTGCTTCTCGCGCCTCAAGGTGAGTAGAGTGTGCTGGGTTAGAGAGGGTTAGAGAGGGTTGGAGGGTTAGAGAGGGTTGGAGGGTTAGAGAGGGTTGGAGGGTTAGAGAGGGTTGGAGGGTTAGAGAGGGTTGGAGGGTTAGAGAGGGTTGGAGGGTTAGAGAGGGTTGGAGGGTTAGAGAGGGTTGGGCTCGCCCGCTACCTGCACGCCCAGCGCTTGAGCCTGCTCGCTCGGTACTTGGAGCGGCTGCACGATAAGGGCGTGGCCACTCCGGACCACACCACCCTGCTTATCAACTGCTTCTCCCGCCTCAAGGTGAGTGGAATGTGCTCGGCTAGAGAGGCTCGCCCTGCTCGCTCGGTACTTGGAGCGGCTGCACGATAAGGGCGTTGCTACGCCGGACCACACCACTCTGCTCATCAACTGCTTCTCGCGCCTCAAGGTGAGTAGAATGTGCTAGGCTAGAGAGGCTCCTACTGGCCCGTTACCTGGAGCGGCTGTATGATAAGGGGGTGGCCACACCGACCACACCACCATGCTTATCAACTGCTTCCCGTGCCTCAAGGTGAGTGGAACGTGCTAGGCTAGAGAGGGTTAGAGAGGCTCGTACTGAGCCCCTGTGTTTTGAGTCGACTCAAAACACTGCTACTCTCTCCCGTACTGAGCCACTGCGCATCCCATCCCTCCAAACCCATGTGCACCGTTCTCTCTTTCCCGCCCACCAGGACGTCTCCAAACTGGATGCCTTCGTTTGGGCTGGCATTGATGCTCCCTCCTCCAATACCCACTCCATTGAACCAGCAACCACAACCAGTCTCATGCTGCACTCCTGCCCATCCCTCCACACCCACATGCACCGCTCTCCCATACCCGCTTACCAGGACGTCTCTAAACTGGATGCCTTCGTCCGGGCGGGCTTCGATTCCCCTTCCTCCGATACCCACTCCATCGAACCAGCAACCACAGACAGGCCCACACCTTCCTCTGCCTCCACTCTCCCCCTCTCCCTCTCCCTCTCACTCCCTCACTCCTCCTCCTCTCCCACCCTCCCATACGATCCCGACACGGTGATCCAAGTCTGCTGTTCCGCCGGGTATTACAGCCAGGCTCTTTTCGTAGCTCAGCGCGCCGCTAAGCATTCCGCTTACCTAAAAATCCTGGTGGAGGATCTACACCGCTATGCTGACGCGCTGGCCTTCATTTCCGCCCTTCCTGACCGGGCGAAAATTGTTTCGGCTGCCCGGGAATACGGGCCGGTGCTGGCGGCTCACCTGCCCGAGGAAACGATTTCTTTGTTCTTAGAGCTCTGCACGGGATTCGGGAGCAGCAGAGACAGAGGGGGGATGGGAATCGGTACTGGCTTAACAGGTGGGGAAGGATCAGGGGGAACTGGAGCAGGCCCCTCTCGGTTTAGGGATAACAGAGAGTCTGCCTCTCCTCGCCCCAGCCCTGGTGCTTCTTCAGGTGCTTCTTCAGGTGCTGCTGCTGCTGATGGAGCTGCAGGCACAGGAGCAGCAGCAGCAACACCAAGAGGAGGAGCAGCAGCAGTTGCCCCAGTTACCATCCCCCCTCGTTCTTCCAGCTTTCGAAAGTCACTCGTTTCCGGCTCGGGCAGGCTCATGGGAAGCCCGAACAGTTCGGGCAGCAGCAGCAGCTCCGGCACGAAAATTCGCATCTCGGATCTCGGGCAGCAGCAGAAATACCTGTCACCAATGGAATTAGCCCCGGTCTTTGTCGACCAACCACGATGCCTGATGAAGTTCCTAGAGGCCTATGTAGACAGGGTTATAGACTCCCCGTGGCATAAAGACGTCCTTAATTCGCTCCTTGAGTTATACCTTTGCTATGAGACCTCAGCCTCCCTCCCATCCTCCTCCTCCTCCTCCTCCTCCCTCCCGTCAGATTATGTTTCCTCTTCGTCTGATTCTGAGCTTCCAAGCTTTGAGTCAGTTCTAAAAGCTGCTGCCGCCGGTGCCGGTGCTGCTGGTCCTGCTTGCAGTGATAGCACGGGCAGCTCGTTTCTTTCAGGTGATTCTGCCCGGACGGATCCCGTGCGGTGGGCAGAACGAAGGATGCTTCTCGGGCAGCAAAAAGAGAGAGAAGCAGCCAGCAGCAGCAGCAACAGCAGCAGTGCTGCAACCAACTCCTCTTTCATCCCCCCTTCTCCCACCTCACTCACTTCTCCTCCTGCTTCTGCTGCCGCTGCTGCTTCTGCTGGAAGAGGAGGAACAGGAGCGAGCGGGGGGGAGGGGGTTGGTGAAAGGGGAGTTATCGTCTCACCTAGGAGTGGAGAGGGTAATGATCGGGCAGCTTGCTTGGCGAAGGCAGGGGCGTTGCTGCGAGCCTATTGGCAGCAGCAGTCGGCTCCTCGTTACGACGCTGACCTGGCACTGCTGACGTGTCAGGTGAGTGAGTTCATTCTTTTGTGTGTTACATTCAGTGTTTGCAAACTCGTCTCCTCTCTTTCGAATTTTTCCACGTGGAATTCTCAATACTGATTCCAGTATTGCATTTATGTGTTGGATGCAAGATTTTCTAACCGCATCCCCCTTGTTCCCTCCTTCGCCTTCCCACTCCTCTCCTCCCCTGTTTCCTCCCTCACCCGCTCCCTCGCTTCCCTGCTCGTTTCTCCCTCCTGTTAGAATTAGGCTATCAAAACTTTGTGTACTATATTCTATATCGCGTAGGTTATTTGCAGGTTGGGTGTAGTTTGTGATCCCAACCCTATCTGGTTGGGATTCTCTCGTAATCCTGCAAATCTGCCAACTCACCAATTGGAGATTTGCTAGGATTCCCATCCCATCTTTTCCCTCGCCTTGCCCATCCCAACCTCGTTTGTACTTAAGGCCTAGTGCCTTCTTTCCTAATCAATCAGTTCAGTTCCAATTCTATCACCTCCCCCTTCCCAGGTGCATGGCTTCAGGGACGGCCATAGTAACGAGGTGACTTTTGAGTCGACTCAAAAGTCCCCTCGCTTCCCCACTCGTTTCTCCCTCCCCTTCCCAGGTACATGGTTTCAGGGATGGCCTCCTCTTCCTGTACGAGAGAATGCGGCTCTTCAAGGAGGCCCTGGCGATGCACATGCGGGAGGGCGACAGCAAGGGGCTCATTGCTGCGTGCAAGCGGCTGGGGGATGCGGGGAGGGGGGGAGATCCGAGTGTGTGGGCGGACGTTGTGAGGTACCTGGGGGAACGGGGGGAGGCGTGCGGGGAGGAGGTGGCGGAGGTGTTGAGTGCGGTGGAGAGGGGTAACCTGCTGCCGCCGCTGCTGGTGCTGCAGGTGAGCTCATTGCTGCGTGCAAGCGACTGGGGGATGCGGGGAGGGGGGAAGATCCGAGTGTGTGGGCGGATGTTGTTAGGTACCTGGGGGAACGGGGGGAGGCGAGGGGGGAGGAGGTGTTAAGTGCGGTGGAGAGGGGTAACCTGCTGCCGCCTCTGCTGGTGCTGCATGTGAGCTGCTTGTGATGTTTATGAAAATTGACACGACTATGTGACAGGACACGTACATATGCAACCAGTCTCCCTCCTGCTCTCGCTCTCCCTCCTGCTCTTTGTCTCCCTCCCTCCTCACACCAGACTCTTTCGCGCAACCCACACATCACGGTGGGGGAAATTCGGGACTATGTGTCGCGGCACTCTCACATGCACCCTCTCTGCTCCCTCTCCCTCCCTTCTCCTCCCTCTCCCTCCCTTCTCCTCCCTCTCCCTCTTGTTCCTCTGCCCTCCTTGGCTTGCCCCATGCAGACTCTCTCGCGCAGCCCGCACATCACGGTGGGGGAGATACGGGACTATGTGTCGCGGCACTTGCAGCAGGAGACAGCCATTATTGAGGAGGACAGGCGGGCGATTGAGAAATACCAGGTGGGCAGGGGTGCCAGTAGGTGGGGATGGATGGTAGCAGGGGATGGATACAGAGGAATGGATGGAGGTTAGCACGTGTCGCAGGACGGGTGGGGACGGGTGGCAGGATTTAGATACTACGAGCCACTTGTTTTCCAGTCCTCCCGATGTGCCGAGTGCAATTCACCGCCCGACCCTAGTGACTCTTCCCTCTCTTTCCGTCCCTCCTGTCTTACCAACACCCCTGCACGCCCCAACAGCACGAGACTGGCAAGTACAGGAACGAACTCCACCAAATCCTGACTGGGCCTCTCGTCTTCCAGCCCTCCCGATGTTTCGAGTGCAACCACCGCTCGACACCACTAATGTTCCCATCTCCCCGCTGTGTCTTGCATTCATTCCCCCCAACAGCACGAGACTGACAAGTACAGGAAAGATCTGCACCAGCTCCTGACCGAACCTCTCGTCTTCCAGTCCTCCCGCTGTGCCGAGTGCAACTCGCCACTCGACCTCCCCGCCGTCCACTTCTTTTGTCTGCATGCGTTCCACCTGCGCTGCCTTGCCGACCCAACCACGGCAGTAGCCGCCGCTACAGCCGCGGCTGCTGCCTCAATGGCAGGTGACGTGGGGGGGGTGAGTGGGGGCGGAGGGGTGATGGGAGGAGGCATGGGAGGGGGAGGGTACGGCGGGGGAAGAGCGGGGGGGTATGGAGGAGGGATGGGAGATGTAGGAGAGGGAGGAGAGGAAGGAGAGGGAGGGGAGGGAGGGGAGGGAGGGGAGGGAGGGATGGAGTGCCCCAAGTGTGCGGCATCATACCGGGTGGTGAGGGAGATGCGGGTGGGGCTGAGGCAGAGTGCGGCGGACCACGACCGCTTCTTCCAGGAGCTGCATGACGCCCGCGACGGCTTTGGTGTTGTCGCTCTCTACTTTGGCCGCGGTCTCGTGCGCGCGGAAGACGCCTTGTAGTGCAGTTATGGTCATTAGAGGATGTGGATTTGTGTCAAGAGGGAGGACAGGAGTGTGAAAGCAGCACAGAAGGTGCTTTTGTTGTCATGCCACAGTGAGCTAGATTTTTTATATTGTTTGTGATACGGTACATGTGCCAAGCCAATCTCGAGCATGTTAAATATATTGCATCGGCTGCTCAAATTTCTACCAAGCTAATTGCTTATGGATGACTAAAATATCGTATTTGATTAAGTTCTGTCATCTCTTGGTGCTCACCAGCAAAACTCTGTGGAGAACATGTATCAAAAGTTAGGTGTTTAAGTCGGGATTAAGAATGGTGTACAATATCCAGAATAATGTGGAGCGTTCATCCCGTCATTCGTTGAGCACTGTTACAAACAAGCACACGAGGACACGAATCTTTGCACAGACGACGAGGATGTGTCATTATGACTGGGCGATAGATTAGCGCCAGTGCGACGGAAAAGCGTCGCATAAGATGCTCTCAACTCGCAGTTACTGACTGTGCGAACGGATAAGAAGATCTCCCAGGTCGTGTAAGGTCGTGCAATCTCACGCGCGAAAGACTTTCCATGGTGCAGGGAAATGCGGCGATGTGATATTTCTCGTTTTGCCAGCACGAGCCCCCACTCCGTGAACACGCGCTCCGTTCACAGGTTCCTCAAGTCCATATCTTACTCGTGCGCTGGCAGCTCCTCCGCACGTCGCGCTAGCGAGAATTTTACATGTGTTGCTCCTTGCGCCACGCCGACAAGCAAATTCCGTTCGACCAATGGGGATACGGAATCTTTTCTAGGGGGGAGCATCTTGGGATCTCCCTGGACCTCGCCCCCTCCAAGCATAACGCGGCTCCATTCACGAGGAGTGTTCCAGACCATTCGGTGAATCTGTCGTGCCGCCATGAGCACCACAAACTCGTTGGGCCTCGCATAACTTTTGTCTTCTGCCCTTTCTGCAAGTCAGTCTAATCACGCACAAAACAAAAACAGGATACAGCGCACATGCGAACAAAAACACCGCACTCCAGCGAAACTCGCCAATTGGTGACTTCCAGCAACACCTTTCGCATTCTGTTCGCCCATGTCACGCCGCCCCTCTCCGCCCAACCTCCCCTGCCCGAGCCTGCCCATTGCCGCCATTCGAATCTGCCCTACTCGCTCCACTAATCTGCCCACCGCTCTAATCTGCCCTTGCCCATCTCGTCCTCCCCTGTTCTTGAAATTTGCCTCGATACGCTCAACCAGGTTTCATCCATGGCCATGACGTACCGCTTCATCAGTTCGGGTTCCCCCGTTGTGATTCCTCCAGAAGTTTGCGGCTGTGACAAGTTGCTGTAGGGAGTGCGAAGCAGTGGGCTTTTTAGTAGGAACCCCGTTGCAAATACTGAATTCAATTAGAGGTCTAATTGTTTGAGCAGTGCCACAGAGGCCTGTAGTGGCAGCTGCTCCAGCGTCATCCTTCACGCAGATTCTGCTTCTTCCCTCATCTCCCTGCTGCTTCCCGCATTTCCGCGACTTTGCACTAAAACAGTTTTTAACAGGTCCAAATAGCTCCACCCGGCAGTGGCAGCATGGATAACACTCGCACCCTGCTTCTGCGACGTCAGTCAACCCCACACGGCCTGGTCCCCTCTAGCAACTCCTTGATTCCGTCCCTCGAGAAACGCGCGTCTCAGCGTCATCGGTCATCGGCGAATCCCCAGCGGAGCCCGCGCCTCACGCAGGCTCCCGGAATCGCGGCGTTCCCCCGATCGGTATCCTCCCCCGCCGTCGCTCCGCTCCCTCGATCGCTGTCTTCCCCTGCACCTGACGCCATGTCCTCCGCGGCCTACGGATTCTTCTCCGGAGTCTCCGGAATCTCACCCGCATTTTCCGGAGTCTCGGGATCTCCTCGGCCGTTCACACCAGCGCCACTTCCGCCGTTGGATCGCTGCGCGGCTCGCAATAAGAACAGCACCGTTCTAAGCAGCTATCAGCGGCGCAGCCTGGTCAGAGCTAATCCGTTCCTCGCGGAAAAGCGGCCTAGCGTTACGGCGTCAGTCGAGCGATCCTCTTCGTCCGCCTCTAGTTCCCGATGCGCCACAGCATCTGCAGTCCAGCGGGATGCGCGTGTTGCGTATGATGCGTCTGATGCGGCGGCTATTGACTGTACCCGTGCCGTAACCCCTACGTCAAGCGCAGTAGATTCGGCTAGCGCCGCCCCCTTGGCAGTTACTCCTCCTCGCACCGAAGCCGTTGCGAAGCTTTCGTCGCCCAAAATGGACCGTCGCACGCTTCTAGGGCTCGGTCTTGCGACGCTCGCTGCGACGGGAGCCGCGGAGCTAGGATTAGTCGATGCGGCTTTAGCTAAGACCGTAGAGCCTCCTAAGAAGCAGCCGATGTGGTTCTTAGGCGACGCGGCAGGAGGTGTGGACGGAGAGGGGGGGTTATTGGGTAAGAGCGGACCAGCAGTGAGTAAATCGCGCGTGTATGACGCTACAACGGTTGGCGAGCCGGCTCTTGTCGGGGATAAGACGAAGGCGTGGGAGAGGCTGCTGGCGGCGAAGGTTGTTTACCTTGGCGAAGCAGAGGTCGTTCGCGATCCCACGGACAAGGTGCGAAAGCGGTGCCGCTGTGATGCCGCTGGTAGCAGTGTTCTGTTAGTAACCACTTGTTTGTGCGTGCCGCTGTCTTGCCGTGCCTTTTTTTAGTGCGTTATTTCCAAAGATGCCTCACTCGCGTCAGTCGCACCATTTGCACCAACAGCCGCAGCCCCACGCCCCTCATTCTTCATCTCTTCTCCGTTTCCATCCTGCCCACATCCCCTTCCTCCTCGTCCCTTCTTTCCCCGTTTCTTCTCCATCGCACAAACCAGCCGCACAGAGAGTCGCTCCCGCCAGATGCTTCACCAGATTCCCGTTTTCGCCTTCGTGATCTAATTCGTTTCGATCAAATTTGATACGATTTGATTGCATTCTTGCAGGCAGTGGCGCTCGAGATCCTGCGCAAGCTGCGCGACGACTCGTTCGCAGCGGGTCGCCCGGTCACTCTCGCGCTCTCCGCGTTCCCGCGCTCCATGCAACCTTTGCTCGACAAATTCATCGGAGGAAGGTAAGCAAATGGATGTTTGGTTCAGCCATTCTCGCGTTTTTCTTTTTTTTCGTTTTTTCCTTTCGTGTTCTCTCTCTCCTCGTCGTTTTCGTCTTCAGGGCAATTTCCAAACTGCCCCCGCTTCGACTTCGCTGCTGTTACTTCTGGCAGGCTTCCAGAGGATGAGCTCCAGGTGGCAGTCAACTACTGGCCCAAGGGCCGCTTTCAGGAAATGTCACCACTCCTTCGCTACTGTCGTGAAGCAGGAGTTCGCCTATTCGCGTGCGGTGTGCCCCCAAAGGTGCTTCGAACAGTGCAAGCGGGCGGTATTCAAGCTCTTTCTCCGCCGGACCGCAAAAAGTACGCGCCGCCGCTCGGCGGCGGTTCGGCCGCTTATCTGCGGCCCGACAGCACCACTGCCGTCCCTTCGTACGGATCCGCTAGTAGCTCCGCGTTCGGCGGCGCCGCAACGGGCGGCTCGTCTGCAATAGCTAATGGCGGCATCAGCAGCATCAGCGGCGGAAACGGCGGGCTGCTGGGAATCGAACCCATCGCGAACGCTGCCGAACCTCTCGTCTCCCGAACCTCCTCCCGAGCCTCGTTTCCGTTCGGCCCGGGCCCGTACTGGTTCGCGCAGGCGCGTGTGGTGGAAGATCACGCCATGGCTGGCGCGATCTCGCAGGCAATGTCAGAAGGCGGGAAAATCGGGCTTCTTGTCGTTCTCACCGGCGCGTCGCACGTGCGATTCGGCGCCAACGGTCGCGGCGTGCCGTCGCGCGTCGCGGAGTGGCTGCGCGCGTCGCCGGCGTCGCAGGCCGTCGTGCTGCTGAACCCCGAGCGGCAGCGCGCGCGGCTCGAGTCGGACTTCCCCGAGGCGGATTTCTTCTGGTACTCGGGCAGCTGGGCGTGCACGCGCAACTGCTTCGACCGCGCGGAGATCGCGCGCGTGATGGGCGCCGCGGGGCGCACCCCCGACGCGCTCCCGCGTGACCTGCAAGTCGGGATCGAGCGCGGTTTGATTTCCCCCGATACGCTCCAGTCCTTTTTCGAGCTCGAGAACAACCCGCTGGTCGCGGAGGCGACGAAGCGGTTCCAGGGATTGCGGGAGCGGTTCTACGCGGATCCGCGATTCCTGCAGCGGCTATGCACGGAGGAGGCGATTAGTATCGCCACGTCACTCGCCGCCCAGTTCCAGAAGCGCGGGGATCGATTCTGGTCGGAGCTCGAATACGTTTCCGCGGACATTCTCCGCGGCACCGTGGTGAACTTCTTTTCGGTCTGGCTGCCCGCGCCGCGTCTCTCCTTCCGGGATGCCGCGGGTCCGGCCGCGCAGGCGGCCGGGGGGGCAGCTGGGGAAAAACTTTTTGGCGGGCTGACCTCGTGGATTTCCACGCTGCCCCACAACGCGTTTCAGATGGCCGAGCCTGGGCAGAATTTTGGCCTCGCGGAGCGAATCGGAACGGTGGTGGTGGCGGGAACAAAACTCTTTTCGGTCGGATTCGTTTCAAGCGTGGCGACGCTGTCGCTGACTAATCTTCTGGCGGACATGAAAAACAAGCTGCCTGCAAAATCTATTGATCAGGCAGCCAACGGGCAGGTTACCACAGAAACGGAAACTGGAGTGGCAGGGGCGGTGGGAGGGGTGGTGGCAGGCTCGGGAACTGCTGCAGCAGCAACTGCAGGGGAAGCAGCCGCGAGTGGCAGCGGATCTACAGTAACAAAATCTACAGTGGCGAGATCTCCCGTGTTCAAAACCGCACTGGTGTACGGCGCGTTCCTGTCCACATCAGCGAATCTGCGGTACCAGGCGATTGCGGGGATTGTGGAGCACTGGATCGCGGATTACTACCTGGCGTCCAATCCGGCGGCGGGAACTGCTGTGTCGTTCCTCGCCCGCACTGCCAACTCCTACTGGGGCACCTCGGTATGTTCCGCTCCTGCCCGCTCTCGGCCTCTCATGTCTCCCCCCCGTTTTATCCGCGTTCCCCTTGCGTTCTCTCCCTTTCCACCGCACATTTGTGGAGCAGTGGATCACGGACCATCTCCCTTCCTCCCTCCCGTCCCCTCCCTGCCTCCAGCCATGAATGTTCCCTGTCTCACCATCTCTACATCCCTCTCCCCGCCCTCTCGTTTCTCCCTCCCATCCCCTCTACCTTCCTCCAGCAATGGGTGGACCTCGCGCGGTTCACAGGCCTGCAGCAGTCACCCAAGCCAGCAGCAGCAGACGCACCTGCTGCAGCTGTAGCAGCTACAGCCGCTCTGCCAGCAGGATCTGTAGTGGCTGGGAGCACCGTAGCAGCTGCGGAGAAAGTTGATGCCGCGGGAACCAATGCAACAGCAGCAGCCGCAACGGGAGCTGTAGCAGCAGCAGTAGATGTTGCCCCCACCACTGGTGTTTCTGCACCTTCCTTCGAGTTTCCTTTCCAAGGCTCCCAGCCTTCACTCGTCCCTGCTTACGCTGGCGCTTATGCCACTGCCGAACCCGTCTTTGCTGCTCCTAACGGAGCTGCCTTTAACGAGTACCCTTCTGCTGCTCCATTAGCTTCAGGTTCCGCTTTGACACCCTCTGCTGATGCTGCTGCTGCTGGGTTTTCTGCCACTGGCACTGCCACTGGCACTGCCACTGGCACTGCTGCTGCTGCAGCTCCATCTGCTGTAGTTTCATCAGACAGCAGTGGGATGGTAGATGGGGATGAGGCAGGTGCAGCAGCGTTGGGAGCAGAGGCAGCAGCATTGGGAGCAGAAGCAGCAGCAACGGATGTAGCGGCAGTTGTGGAGTTTGGAGAGGGGGCTGTAGCAGCCGTGCAGGCAGGGGCTCGTCTTGTTCCGGTGGAGGTGTTATCTGACAGGGACGTGCTTTACCACCACAGTCAGCAACATCAGCAGCAGCAGCACAATTGAAGCAGCAGCGGTGAAAGGAGCTCGTCTTGTTCCTATCTGTCAGGGACGTTTTCAACTACCGCAATTAGCAGCAGCAGCGCCTCAACAGCAGCAGCAGCAGTGGCGCCAGTGGCAGCAATAGAAATGAGGAATAGAAAAGAGCACTGCTTTTTCTCCACTCCCCCTCTTCCACTCATGTCTCCCCACTACAATGGGCACAACCCCTGTCACAACCAAGTTCGTGTTCCCCTCTATCATCCACTTTTACTAGGGCAATCCTCTATACCGACCTTACTTCCTCAATAGCTGAGCGCGAGCAGCAGCAGCGTCGTGTCTGTTCCCTCTGCTCCCCATCAGCAGCTTTGGGTTGCAGAAGCAACCCATGGTGCCACAGTTTTCGTGAGGAGCAGGAGAAGTAGTGAAGCTGGGCGTGCATGTCTATCTGCTACCTTGTTTTATGGTGGCTTTTTGTCCAGAGGCGTTTTCTTCTAATATTGTCAATCACCAGCAGTTATGGGGTTGTGCTAATCTGATCCAATCCAATGCCAGTTTCACAATGAGGTAAATTTGGTTGCAGTCTTGCAATGCGTGGCCAGATGGGTGGAAATTCCAGGCTACCAGACACTAGTTAACCAAAAAAAATAGTCAGGCCTAGGAAATGGAATTAATATGTGTAAACGTTGTGGGGCTGAAAAAGCCCTTACGATCTTTGCAGAGGTGAATTCTGGGTAGAGTTGATGTAGTAGCGGAAGAGTCTTAATAAAAAGTTTGTGAACCACCTTGCGCTAGTATGTGAGGGCAAAGTGAATTGATTAAAGCAAAGAGATACAAGGTTATATATGAATACAGAGAATATGAAGAGACACAGTTATAACTACTTTACTGTTGCTGTTGCGGTTCGATACAGTGACGACTCGGGCAACTGCTCTGTAAAGAGTTAGTTGTGTGTCCTTGCTGTCGCGCTGCATTTGTCAGGTCAAAGGTCGCTGACCTTTGACTTTCGCGTAACCTCCAGCGGTTACTTCAACCTCCGAGGGTTGACTTGCTGGTGCCTCGATATGCTCTGCTTCGCTTGTGCCTTAGTGTTTCGACACGACAGAGGCGCTTAGGAACTATTGTTTCCAACACTCCCCTTCGCTTCTAGAGTGTCGCTGACGTGGCTCTGTCCAGTCAGCAGCATGCAATATTCGAACTTCTGCTTTCCGAGCTTCTTGGTCTGGTAATCAGCTGCCATCTCGGACGTGGGGCAGTATGACAGTTCAAGCCTTCCTTTCTTGATCTCGTCCTTCACGAAGAAGTATCGTAGGGCGATGTGTTTCGTCCTGTTCGCGAAGCCGTTCTTGTTGGCGATGCAAATTGCCGACTGGTTGTCGCAGAACATGGTGAAGTTGTGTAACTCGGCTAACTTCGCTTCTTCCAGTAGCTCGCGAAGATGGAGTCCTTCCTTGGTGGCTGAGCAGAGTGCAATATATTCTGCTTCAGCTGACGAGAGAGCAATTAGTTCTTACTTGCTCGATTGCCAGGAGATAGGCCCGATAGGCTCGAGACGGTAGATGTAGCCGGTGCGTGATCGCCTGTTGTCGGAGTCGCCTACGTGGTCTGCGTCGACGTAGTCGATTAGCTTAGGCGTTGTAGTTGCGTTCTTATGATAAGTCAGTCCGACCGTCGAGGTACTGACAAGGTAGTGAAGAGCGCGGTCGAGCTCCGCCAGATGTTCCGCTTCAGGCCTCTTGAGGTAGGTGGCGAGCTGGCTTGCAGAGTAGGATAGATCTGGGCGGCAGGTGACAGCTGCGAAGAGAAGGCAGCCCAGCTTTCTCTGGTAGTCGTGGATGCCGGCGGGCTTGAGTAGAGCGGAGCCTTCCTTGTTGTTTACTGTCGTGTAGCGGTACGGTGTGGAGATAGCTGTTGGTGTGAGTGCGAAACGCTTGGCGATGGTGTCGGCGTATTTCGTGGCGCTGAGGTAGATAGCGTCTTCTTCTCGGATGTTGAGGCCGAGGTACTGTGTGACGGTAGGTGAGACTGTGAGTGTGAGGTCTTGTTGTAACTCCCCTTCGAACCAGGTTGTAATACCTTCGGTTGAGCCAATGTAGAGTAGGTCGTCTACGTAGACGATTAGCAGGATGTAGTCGGTACCCTTCGAGAGCCGGTACATGCCCTGGTCGTGCGGTAGTTGCTTGAAGCCGATGCGAATGAGGCGAGCGTATAGGTATTGTTGCCATAGTCGCGGGGCTTGCTTGATGCCGTAGAGTGACTTGAGTAGTTGACAGACGTGTTTCGAGTCCGTGCTGGAGCCGTGTGGTAGCTCGACGAAGATCTCGACGTCGACGGGTGCGTAGAGGAATGCATTGGCGACGTCGATTTGCCTTAGCTTCTTCTTCTTCATGGCGGCGATCGCGAGAAGGATGCGTAGCGAGGTGTGTCGGCTGACTAGAGCGAATGTTTCGGTGAAGTCGCGGCCGTGCTCTTGGTCGAAGCCACGAACGACCTAGCGTGCTTTGAATTTGTCGATGGTGCCATCGGCCTTTGTCTTCACACGGAAGACCCATTTTCCGGTGAGTACTGTCTTGTTCCGTGCCACACCGATAGGAACCACCTTCCACGTGTTGCGTTCCTCCAGTGCCTTCAGCTCCTTGTCCATGGCTTCGCGCCATTTTTCTTTATGTTCCCCCCCTAGAGCCTGCTGAACCGTCGCAGGCTCTTTAGGAGCGACGGAGCCGTGGACTGCGGTGACGAGCCCGAGGATCTGCAGTCCACTCTGTGAGTAGCGGGGAAGATTTACATCCTCGGGATAAGCTGCTTCGTCTCCCGTTTCTGGATCAGGTATGAAATTTGGTCCTACTCGTTCTGCTTCGTTGGTGTTGACTGTGGCAGGTGTTACGTAACCGTTTTCGGCGAAGTGGTAGAAGGTTTCGGCGTTGGCACTTTCGCGAGGGTTGTCTTCGTTCATGGAAACGTCGACGGAGCAGAACGGAAGAGGTCCGGCTTCTTCTGATGCGTTGTCCACATTCTGCTCGTCCCAGTCTGCTTTGTCCGCTGCTGAGGCGAAGGCTCGGTCACCACGAAGGCCACTTGTGGGGTCTTCGTCTTCTTGCAAGTTGGCAAGGTACGTCTGGAGCGTGAGTCGTTCATAGAAAATTACGTCACGTGCTGCTACTGTTTCCTTTGAGTGGACGTCGAAGATTTTCCACGCGTTGTAGTTCTTTTCGATGCCCAGGTGTAGTCCCCACTGTGCTCGTTGAGAAAATCGGCCCGCTCGTGCTGCTGGGGGTCGGTACTGTACCATGCACCCGAAAACTCGTAACATTTTTGTGCTGCCCTGTTTCCCTGTCCATAGCAGATGCGGTGATGCGTTGTTCGGAAGCGATGACGACGACAGCAAATTGTGCAGCATGACAGCGTGGTCCATTGCTGCAGGCCATTGGTGGTTGGGTAGCCGCATGCCACGTAGCAGTTTGCGCATGGTGTTCTGCAGGGTCCTGTTCATTCTCTCTGCTACTCCTTGCTGCTGATGGGCGTAGGGAAGGGAGATGAGCTGCTTGATTCCCCTTTCCGCCAGGTACTGCTTGAACCGCTGAGAGGTGTATTCTCCTCCTCCGTCTGACTGGAAGCTTTTCAGTTGTACGCCCGACTCTCTCTCTGCTACTGGTAGCCAGGCAATGAAGGTTGCGAATGCCATGTCGCGGCTGGGTAGGTTTAGGTGCCAGACGTAACGGGTGGCGGCGTCGATGAAGGTGATCGTGTAGTTGTATGTGACTTGTCCTGGTTCCCGATTGAACAGGATATCGCTATACACCTTCTCGAGTGGTGCGTACGCGGGAGCGCTTGGGTTGTGATGTGACACGAATGGTCGATGCGGTAAGTCGCCTTCAGGGCAGGTGAAGCACGTTCCTCGCGCTCGTTGAAGTTCTCGTCCGTCGGTTAGTAGGAGTGAGTCCTTGTCAAGTACTCCTGCTCTTATTGTATTGTTTAATACTGTGTTGCTTGGGTGTCCCAACCGTGCGTGCCAGGTGCTTTCGTTGGCGCGATGTCCGGGTGATCGTCGGTACATGTCGGAGTTGGAGTAGAAGCTGGCGGTGAAGTTGGTGCTGCGATGAACTTCTCGTGGTGCTGGGTGCAGTTGTTGCGCTGGTGTTGGTGGTGTGTCGTCGATGAGGAGTGGTGTCGTTGAAGGACCAGCAACTGGTGTTGACATTCCTGCTGCTGCCGTTGATGGTTCTGCTGCTACCGATGTTGTCTCTGCTGCTCCCGATGTTGTCTCTGCTGCTGCCGATGTTGTCTCTGCTGCTGCCGATGTTGTTTCTGCTGCTGCCGATGTTGCCTCTACTGCTGCCGATGTTGTCTGGATTGTTGCTAACGCCCTTGTTCTTTCTGCTTCAGGGATGGTGTGTGAGTACCAGAAGCCTTCTGGACTGAAGTCTGAATCAAGGTCTGGAGGGTGTGTCCAGTCGGTGAAGTTGACGATGGCGTCGCTGTCGGCAGTGCCAAGGTCAGGGACGAAATCAAGAACGAAGACGTTGTTCTTGAGGACCGCCCTGCGGATGTAGAGTCCTCCTCTCCCGTGATACAGCTTGAATTCTTGAGTGGTACTGTCTGCTTCGAGATGAATCCCCTTCGCCATCAGCTGGCTGACGCTCAGTAAGTTGTAGCCGAGTCCCTCCGCGATTAGTACCTTTGACATCTGTAGTACGACGTTTGTTTCCCTTGACTGAAGTTGAACTACGCCTTGTCGTCGTGTTCGCAGGTTTTGGTTGTTGGCGACTGTAATGACGACTTCGCGTTGAAGCTGGTGTTCTCGTTGAACGAAGCGTCCTGAGAACACATGTGCTGTCCGCAGCAGCTGTCCAAGAACCAAGTGTCCCTTCCGGATGGTTCGCTTTGAGCGATGGCGGCGTATGTCCGGCTCGGCTGAAGTGACTCGCGGCGGGGTGTGGTTTCGTCGAGTTGTTCTTCCGGTGAGTAGTGTGGTGGTGACTCGGTGATGCAGGAGTCTGTTTTCTTTGTCATGCAGCAGACGATGTTTC